CTCCACTGTTCTCGCTTCCGCCTCCTCCACTGCTCTCGCTTCCACCTCCTCCGCCTCCTCCGCCCCCTCCTCCACTGTTACCTCCACCTCCACCACTCCAACCACCGCCTCCACCGGCGTGGCCTTCGCCTCCACCGGCGTGGCCTCCGCCTCCACTGCTGTCGCTTCCACCTCCACCACTCCCGTTTTCGCCACCACCGCTATGGCCTCCTCCTCCACCACTGCCGCTTCCACCTCCGCCACTGCTGGCCCCACCTCCACAGCTGGCGCATTTACAACCTGTTAAAAATTGAAGCTGAACTTAAGGAAACGCAGTGAATGTGGACTCCCAAGAAACAAACTCCTCTTACATGATTGTTTTTCTCCTCCTCCTCCTCCACCCCATCCACTCATCGATGCACCCCACTTCGTGCTCCCCTTATTTTTTTTCTTTTTCTTTTTCCCTCCGTCTGATCCCTTTTTCTTTTTTGTTTTGGCCTTAGTCATTGTGGTCATGGCGTGACCATATCCGGAACTGGAGCCCGAAATCGAGACCTTCTTCCTCTTAGGACTTCCAAGTAGTTCGTCGATATCTAAAGAGTCAACGCTGTCATAGTATTCCATCGGGTTCGATTCGTACCTGCAAAACGTAGAAGAGAAAAACATTAAAACATTCTCCAATGTCACAACGATCAGTACTTTCTTTTCATTGGTTTAAGTAAGAACAACTTGGGCGATCCATTCCAAAAAAAATGATGTAAGGTGAAGTTTCCTCGAATAAAAATGCTTAACATTTATAGAGTATGATACTTCTGCAGGTGTCAGCCAGTTCCACACCGAATAGCCTAGATGAGATGAATTTAAGAAGAGGATGCATCCGTGATGAAACCGTGGCAAGGGTTCGAAACCGGCCGATTCGGAGCGTAAGTTGACGTTAACGGGGGAAGGTGCTCCCGGTGTTCCAGAGATAAAGTGCATTCGTGGGTTGGAGGTCCTCTCGCGCCAGGCACCCCATCGCCATCGCATGTTATCGAAACCGCATCGGCTGCTCTGCTGCTCGCACGTCCGCTGCAGGACTCCATCGTGCAAAAGAACTCACTTGCTGTTTTGGGGGAGGTAGAAGTAGGAGAGAACGGGGCGGTAGTAGGCGTACGGAGAGGTCTTGCCCCGATGGGACATCATCTGAGGGTAATACATGAAATAATTTGGGACTTTGTCCCCTCTTCTCGTAGGAAAACCGGGCCCGAAAACGAATCGACGGTCGTCGATGCCAGAGGCACGACCGAGCCGATCGGCGAATCCCATCGAGGAGAAGCCAACCCCTTCTGAGCCTGTCACAACGTGAGAAAGGGTCTATAAGTTTCAAGGAAATCAACATTGAAATACTCGGTACCGTTGGTTAATTTCGTGCGACTCACTTCGGGTCTCGGTCGGGCTTGGTAGGGCCATCATGGCCAGGAAAACCGGGGTCAGGTACAACATCTGATCATTAAAGTTATGGATCAGATAAAAACACTTTGATCCTCGAAACGAAATAGACGATAGATCATCAGTAGACGATAGTAAAACTCTACATGATCAAAGAATCCCTCTTTCTTTCAAGATATCTCAGTAAAAGAAGAAGTGAAACCTATAACACGTTCGGACAGAAGATTCGAGAAAATGTATTTGGAAGTCTGAAGGGAGACCAGTTTACAAAATTCCCTAAATACAGGGAAAGAGAGGAATTACGACCCTGCCATGAAGCCCCTCCCGCTGCATCAAACAATTCAACTTAAAAATCAATCCGATCTCCCTTCTTAAAATCGAATTACACCTTTGTCCAGTCTCAAAATGTGAATGGACGGTGCGAGCACTTTCCTCTTGAATGGTACATATCCGAAAACTATTAAGTTTAATATTTACAATACAAGGAGTGGAAACAAGCAAAACTTCAAGGGCGGCGGAATTTTGCCTCACTTTTCTGCACAGTAGACTACACTGTTTAAAATAAATAAATAAACAGTTTATTTTGTTAAATATCTCCATCTGGAATCATGCGAATTTCATGCTTTTCTGCGTATGACACTTCAAATGAATAAAGGTTTCTGCCAACTTTAAAATTATTTCTCCCAGTGCTTGAAACACAATACTATCCAAACTCAAAAATCGCAGCGAAAAAAACTATCTGCTCTCTTCTGGCTGAGCCCAGACAGCTGATGGTCTAAATACTCAGTGGTCTTTCATTCATTTCTCTCATGATGTGTTTACGATTGTTTCGTTTATTTTTTTAATTATAAATAAAAGGGTGCTAGTTTGCATGTAAAAACGTCCTAAGTACATCATGTTTTTTTTTTTTTGCACACGATGTTTCAGATGAATCGAGAGAAATTTAAGCCTACAGATGATCTTAAAAATCAGCGATTAAAAATACTTCCGGAACACAAACTAACGCAGGAGAGATACGAAAAGGAATTTCTACATCTAAACCTACCTGTAGTCTGCGTTCAGTCATGTCGGAGAGTGTTAGGCCCGACGCGCTCTCGTGAAACGTTCCCGTGAAGCGTGTGTAATGATAATGATAGGAATGGCACGGAGAGGGTGAAGAGGGTGAAGAGGATGGAGAGGATGGAGAAGATGGAGAGTTGTACTCGATGTTCCGGGTTTCATGGCGTAGTAGCACACATGACCGGGAATCAGGAGGCTCGGCCCTTCCCTCGTCTTTCTTTCGTCCTCTCGTGCCATTCGATTCTTCCCTCTAACTGCCACTGGCGTTACTCGCGTATCTTATACGCACGAAACACGCTCGATTGGATGGAACACGTGGGAAACGGTGGGGCGCCGCACACGGGTCAAGCACGCTCCATCGGATGGAACACAATTGCTACCACTTGTGTTCCATCCGATGAAGCGTGTTTGATGTGCGCTTCGCGAGAATATTTCACCAGGGAGCAGCCGGGGTTTAAAGTGACACGCATGGCAAGGAGTAGCGCGAAGATGGTTTCTTTACTGTGATTTTTGATGCTGCAACTAAAAAAAAAACTACTATTGCATTTGAAGCACTGGGTGAAATTGTTTAAATTGGCATCGTTTGTCGTTCATCAGAAGCGTCACGTACAGAAAACCACGAGGCTCGCACGATATCGGATGAATATATAACTAAAATAAATAAACTAGCCCCTTGTTTTTAGAGACACGATGCCGTTTTACACTGTCTTGCTAAACGTGAAGGCCCAGCAGCGTTAGACTAGACTCTCCCGCCAATTGCTTCCTAACGACCATGCTCCTCTAAACGCCGTGAACTCCCGTGGTGTTGCCACCATGCTTTTAATTCATGCTCAATACAAAATCTTGCTGTATTTGCCTGCTGCCAGGAAGTCACTCGATCACTGAGTCCCACAGGAACGTTATACCGTGACACTATAACTGTAGTACGAATACGGGTAACGTAGAACTCGATACATGCAATGTAGAGTGGTATGAACCGAATTCGTTTTACTTAAAGTTGACCTGATCTGACGGAGGGATGGGAGGTTTGCACCGAAAGGAGAATCTTCCCACGGAGAGCAATGGGAAATTTTCGTGTTGCATACATAAAAACAGCACGGATCTCGGGAACTCACATCGAGGAATCGTTGAGGATATGGGGGTCCAAGACCGAGGCGTTGAGTTTGGAGATCCCACAGTCGAAATCGGAGGGGATTCTCCACCGGAAAAGGCCTGGGCATTTTCATCCTCGCATGTCAGGATTGAGAGCGAGAACTCTCCACTTTTATGCGATCCCCTTCATGCTCGGATGAGCATCGCCATGCACGACTTTGTTTTTCGCTTTCCTTCCATTCCGCCTTTTTTTCTCTCTCTCTCTCCTCTCGCCTTTGGGAACAACCTGGCCGTATTCGCATGGAATGTTTTTTGTTTATTCACGTGATTCATCGTGACGTGATGAATCATCGCAGCCGACGACCGTGAGAAATTATCTAGGATAAAAACAGCCCTCGTCGACAGGATGAGAGAGGGGGGTTGGATGGGCTTCACTAATCTCTCATCGTCCTCGTCGAATGTCAGGGAGAAGGGAAATCTCACTGTCTCGTGTGCATCCCGAGTTAGAAATCGGATGTGCTTCCCAAAGTTTGAAGTAGAGCCTTAAAATTGACTGGAATGGCGCGGTCAGGAAACGTTCCACCGTCCGTCGACTGTTGAGCCCCTTAGCTCCAGTTGCATGGCAGTCGCGAACGGATTTTTTCCTTTCCACCTCCTTTCAAAATTGGGTGAACTCACTTCGCGCATCAATATTTTTTTCATTCGACTGATATCTCGAAACCGGCGCCGTTAAGATCGTTATTATCACAGGGGTAGCGAAATTAGGAGCATTTGAGGCGTTTATGGCCCATTTATGGCTTGGCAGCAGAGGCTGTCTGGTCATTACCCACCTGACATAAATCAACGTCATTGACGGTTACCTCTCACTAGACGGCCCAAATAAGGATTTCTTTGAAATCCCTCTGCGGATCGGTGAGATTGCGAAGGCGACTGACAATTTTTTTTTTAATCTGGAACAGAGACGGTCTCTTTGGGGAAAAATTTATTTTACCTGTTCTCACTCGTGGTTACATATTATATTAAAACTGCCGCTTTCAATTAAATGCGGACAATGCAATTAAAGCGTCTCACAATGGCAGATCTGCATACTACTTAGTGGATGCCGAGATCTAAATTCTCCCGGCGTACTCATAATTAATGTGAAAGTGCACAGATGCGAGAGACTAGACCTCAATCCAGGAGACTCCAAATGATTTCTTCTGCGTTATCGGCGAGTCAGAACATGCTCATGCTCGCTCGCAATCCCGTTCGGCAGCCAAAGCGAGCTCTTCCTCGTTCCAGATCCCGCAGAAATCAACGATCGGATTGGCATTAGCAAATGGCGCCGTCATCGTGTCATTGAGTATTCCTGGATGGTGGAAAGGAATCGATCCGGTGAGCCTAGTAGCCTTCATGCACCGTCTCCATCCCTTTGAGGGGGATCGTGCCTCATCGCTCAGATGAGGATCGTACACCATTGTGGCCCCTTCCTCCCCATCAAAGCCCCATTCTTGCTCTTGGAAATCGGAACACTTTCCCTGTACGGAAGGTTTTTTATATTTTGTGGAAACGAATTTGAAACGCGAAAGCTTTCCTGGGCTAGGGCTTGCTGCATCGTGTGTCGGCTAGTTTGGTATCGTAAGTTTCCAATTTGAAAGCGAGGAAGCTTGTACTTTGATGTCTCGAAAATCCAAGTCTGGTGGGAGGGATACAACGACTGCCTTTTCCGAGGAAGACGACTCGTGTTCGGGGATCGTAGGCAGATACGAGGACAAAGAATTCGAGAAAGGAATCCACGACATCGTTCACGGTTCTGAAGTTACCCGAGAAGCTGCCCTGGAAGGGAGAGACAGAGTCAGAGGAACGAGAGCAATACCGCTAGCAATTCGGGGACATCCAGGTAGTCCCCAGATGCAAGCACGGATGGACTCGGATGTCTTTAGCTTGTTGGTACGAGCCTTGGGAAATCGATCACCTCCCACGTTGGAAGGTCTCAGTGCAGCGTGCAAGGAGGACTGAGGAATTTGAGTCTCACTGTGCTGCAGAGGAGCTACCCATCTCGGAATGCAGAGCTATCGTCGAGAACCATGGGTATCGGTCAGGGAATAATCGGGAACGGAATAGGAAACTCTAAGGCACGCCAATCTTACAGATTCGTTTCCGTGAAGTGAAAAGAACCTTCCGTGTTGTCGCATGCAGGAATAGGTATCCCTTCTCCGATGAGGAAAATACTACATTCAAATCGATATCGATTTGAATGGGGAAATCGATAAAGCTCTTCTTTCTCTGTCGATGTTTTATAGTAATTTATGAAGGGGGATACATTTTATCCCATCGGGAAACCTGCGATATTCTCTCGAATCCCTACCACTTCCCTATCAGAGCTCACAGGGCCCTCTCGGTTCAAGAATTCATCCAAAGGGATGAATTCCTGAACCGAGAATGAATCCGAAGGGATGAATTCCTGAACCGAGAATGAATCCGAAGGGATGAATTCCTGAACCGAGAATGAATCCGAAGGGATGAATTCCTGAACCGAGAATGAATCCGAAGGGATGAATTCCTGAACCGAATCGTGCACGTGGTGCGACCGACACGTTCTCCAGACTGGAACCCGATAGAGCACGTGTGGGACATGCTCCAGCGCGGTGCGGATAGTCGCCAGGACGCACCAGGAACTCGGGACGACTCGACCTTTGCACTCCTGGAAAATCGAGCTGCAATCCCGCAAGACGACATGTTAAACCTCGTCTGGAGCATGCCACTACGTCGCCAAGCTGCGATCTTTGCAACCGAACGCGAGATTTCGTTGCAAGACCGGAGCCGAAGCCGGTGTTGCGTTTCTATTCGTCTCACATCGTTTCTCAAAATTCTTGGATCCTGCTTGTTTTCGGTTCTTTCTTTATCCAAAAGGATGATATACGACCGTGAAAATAAACGATTGTGCTGGACCGATGTGACACCTATAGTGATTCATAACAGTGATCCACTTCAAATGTTGAGTGGTGCATGTCCAGTACCTTCCCGCAGTCTTTTCCTTTCGAAAGTACCGAGTGCAGCAAAATGAAACATGTATCGCATACGATGATGATCGAGGTCCCTTCATCTCACCTAAACCTTTTAGTACGATACGGAGAGAGAATGGTGTGGGATCACGCTCCGAAAAAATCGCAAGAAACAAGACCTGCGAGAGTGATGATCTCCCGCGAAGGCGTAGATACCCAGATAACACTCGGGGTGTGAACCTCCTCGCTAAAAGGTCTCTTACCTTATCTATACACGTCTAGACGGCATTCTGTCAGAGATTTGAACTCGAGGCGAGTGTGAGCAAGAACCGATCGGAAGGGACGCGAAAGACGGACGGTATTCCCATCGCGACGATTCCATTGCCTACGGAATGCGTCTCGGAGGAGTTAAGGATGACTCCGTACGAGCCGCAGTTCCAGGCCGGAGCGATGGGGGAGCAGGGGTGGAAGAACGCCTCGTCGTCGAAAACGAGCCACTTTTGGAGGCCACAGATGCGTATTGCCTCGAGTGAGAGACGGCTTGCCTCCGGGCTTGCCTCTGGGCTTGCCTCTGGGCTTGCCTCGATCGCGTCATTCCATTCATCCGAACTCGCGACGAGCACGGTCGTCGGCTATCTCTATTGGGGTCCGTCCATGCCAAGTGGCCCCGAGAGTCTTCGAACGAAGCGACGCCGTTTTCGCATGTCGAGTGCCATGCACGAGTCGATCGTCTCCAGCCCCTGAAGACGGGAAAAAGATGAGAATATTCTTATAAGATGAAAGAACTGTTATTTCCGTCTCATCGAGTACCATTTTAGGGGTGCTAATTAATGCGACAGGAATGCAGACCTGGTGAGAATGCTTAGGACAGCTAAAATGGATGGGCTTTCCCATGCTGAATGATGATCTCAGCTGAACCCAGGTGCGACGAGAAGTTACCAATTTTTCACGTTTGAGTGATGATCTAAGCAAGCATTAGAAGTATGCAAACTTTTCATTTTTAATATACTCTTAAATGTCACATCCGACCATAAGTGTAGGTAGATGGATAAAAGTGTATATGTGTGTGTGTGTGTGTGGAGGGGGGGGGGATGCCGCACAGGAACTCTGGAACACTGTTCACATGCATTTCATGCGGCTTTTTTTCCTCATTTATTTCTTCTTTTTTTGGAAGGGGGGGGGGGATTGGGAGGAGGGAGGGGGACATGTGGGCCTCTGGTCCCCTCTGCGCGATGCCGCCAAATCCTACGCTTTTCCTGTCACATTCCACGTCTCGAAATAGCTTTGCTTACGTTTCTTATCACTGCAAGGGTGACTTACACGAATCTCGGCTTTCGTTTCACCAAAGGAATGAAGATGATACTAAATTAATGGTTCCCATATATCATGGGAATGCGAAGGGAAAAGCAAGTAACTCATTCTCGGTGTTCATTTAATGTGACATCCCACATTTTTCATCGCCCTCGGATGGAGCTCTCACAAAAGGAAGTATAGCCGATAGAATTTTCAATCTCTTCTCGAAACCGAATGATGCAACATTTATGAGTTGATTATGGTGTTTCCCAATTGCGCGCACTTTCCCGATTTTCCTCGATGACTGAAATAGATAACGGCTTACCCCTTCTCGTGCCCTCGATCGTATCCTCATCCCTGAGGGCCCACTTGCGCACACCTAGCATAACTGGTTTTAAAGATAAGGGAATTCCGGCGGTCGAAATGGAAGAGAATCTCATGGAAACGAACCGTCGACGCGACCGTGTGTTTCCATCGTTTCGCAAAACAAAATCGGGCTTCATCGCATGGCGATGCGCCAAAAAAATACAGCAGCGCCATGATCCGATCTGAAACCAAGAAGACCATCGCAGTCGCATGCGACCGTATTGGTGTATTGCATGCGATCGTACTCACACGTGCCTCTAAATGTGGTTCCTTTGCGATGCCAGTGAGATCTACGGAGACGGTTACCTCCAGATACCGTGACAAATTTCCTACCGGTTCTGCACTTTGCACGCATTGCAAAATGGACATCGTGTTCCGGCTGTTTTCTGCCTGCTGCCATCGAAGAGAAGAGATGCACGATGCGATGCTTCCCCGTGCGAAATCGTCCTCGTCGTCGAATGTGACTCGCATGCGTGTCGGTTTGGAGAAGGGGGCTGGTTCACGACGCGGTCGCATCGGTCTGGCTTCACGCAGCCACCGAGAGCAGACGAATCGAACCGGGACGAGCACGGTCCCCCGAGATGGATCTCGATAGGGATGACACCGAATCGACGGGAGACTCGGGGAATCGGGGAAGCGACCGACGAAATCATTCCTCCTCCCGTTGGATCCCCGGCGTGCGCTTTGGGTCTCGTGCCCGTCATGCCATCCGAAGAGGGAGCTCTAAAGTTTACGGGGGAATCTCGTCGTCGATGACGGTCGATTTTCACCTTCGACGCGGGCTCTTCGTCGACTCGCACCGTCGATGCATGTGAAATTTCTCGTGCTCGCTTCGATCGTTGATTTTCTGCTCTCGTTCCCGTGCGTTCGACTCGATCGAGACTCGGACGGAGACGAAAGGCAGAGGCGATCTCGAAGATGCCGGCCACACTTTAAGGGCCTCGTCCCGGGGTCGAAGAGAGAAAAGATGCGGTCCAATTTTCTCGATCCGACTTTCTCGATCGACACGTGTCGGGAAAACTGCATCAATAGAAGAGTGCCGGATGGTCCTCACAAAGTACGCACGTACGTCCACGTTTTCAATCACTGGGCGCGCACGTAAATATACGTGAATTTCACACCTCGTAAAAATACTAAAATGTCAAAGTGTTGAATGTCGATTCATGTAAAAAGTGAGTTTTTCATAGAAAAATAATTTGTTCTCACCTAAAATGAAGAAAGTAAAATGTTGTTCGCAATTTGATTCGCTTGGAAACTTTTGTCATGATGGAGAAATGATGACTTCTTCCACGAGTTTTAGTATGGTAACTGCGACAATTTCCATTTTTATGACATTATGGAGCGAAATCGTGCCAAAGAGGATCGATGAACACGACTAAACCATTCTACTTGAAGCTATTTGTTGCTGAACTCCTGTCTGCGTAAATTTCTTGCGTTCGCAAATGGACAACTGCTGGGACAAACCGCAAACGGGTAACGTGAGTTGTGAACTACGCGTCTCGCCCAGATGAAAAACATGGTGTGCCCCGATTGGGCGCATGGAGGAGCAGGGTGCGCGCAGATGGGCACTGCCCGTCGATCCGTCATTTGCATCGTCGTCAGAGATACATCATATTAAATATATTGCTTCCGACATCACGGACAAGCTCGTAACCGTCGATTAAGGCTTCCAAAGGGTCATTCGCCGTCTGGGGTACCTAACATGTAACTAATGTCGCCCCATTGAAACGACGTGCAAATCCAGTCGGCTCTATTTCCCTTGGCATTCGAGCAACAAGTGCCCAGAGATGCGAAAGACGTACATTGTTCGATACGAAAGGAGGTGGTGGGTGTTGAACCGTAGCATGAGGGTAATCCAAACGCAAGATGGAGACCTAACGGCAATGGTGACTCGCCGACTCGGGAAAGCTTTAGCTCCTCGGGTGAGACCTAATTTCGTACTGGCGGCTATCATTCCGGCTCGCTTCCGACATCTGAACGTAGACTCCGGAAAGACTACCTCCCCATTTACTCCATAGATGGCTGTCAGCTCGAGACGAGGAAATGGATAGCAGACGCAGAGGATTACTCGTGTCATCTAACACCAGACATGCTCACTCGTTAGCGAGTACTCGACAGGAGTGTTTTGCGCCTGGAGGCATCGAAGCACTCGCAGACTCATCCCGTCCCCGAGGAGCCATTCACACCCTCATCTCACTTTTTCCTATCGTCTTTTCATCGAAGGCAGATTCAAGAGACATAAATGGTTTCGTTTCCCTTCGTAATGAAATCTTACCTGAGGGGAGGAATAGGATTATCATATGATAGCTGTCCGTATCCATATTCATGAACATGCCTGCCGTAAAGCGTAATCTCCAAAATCTAAAACAATGACAGGCACCTCGTCTTTGGAAGGGGGAAAAAGTCGCTCGCAAAGGTGAACATTTTCATGAGTACTGGAAGAGTAATTGCTCTAGAATATTTTTCATTTTCGACTTCCCTCTTGAAGCTACATTGATTTCACGTCTTCCCAAGGCCATTCGTCTCCTCGATTTCCTGTTATTGGCCTGTTATTATTATCGTTAGAGTCACAATGATGAAATGGTAGTTGCTTCTTCAGGATCTTCCTAGAAGTCGTGAAACTGCATCAACAATTTCTTTAGGAATCCTAGGGAACAGGTTGCATGATGTTTAAGCGATGAAATCCCAACCTGAACGGTACTTTTCTATTCATGATGCCTTTGTAGTCGGTTCTTACGCCCCGAAGTTCTTCACTTTTGGTGGCATCATCCGACAACATTCTCACTCCCATATCTACTGAAAGGTCTTGAACTTATTGAAAATTAACCCATTATGCCAAACACTGAGTTATGTTACTTCATGTTTATATACTACATAGTACTATATACGGTCACCAAAATGGCCAATTTTCACGACTCTGACACAGAAAAATATGTGAGATTTAGTGGAAGAAGCTCCAACTTGGCACATTCGTAGGTGTCACATAGGTTTAAATTAACCCTAACTTGGGTGTCTTCCCCAAGCTGGGGAAAATTTTTGAATCCCGAACTCGAAAACATAGCAAATTTGAAAATTTGCTCTTAGTTCCGCATGATGTATACGTAACCAAACATTACATATTCGATTTGTCTGTACAAGATGATTAGTTTTGGCATTGGAATCTTGTTCACGAGACCAACAGTTTATTAGATAAGTTTTTGGAGTTCGGTTAGAAAGGAGCCTCGAGGAACATTTTTGGAAACTAGTTTAAGAGAACGGGGAAACTAGAATTTCTTTTGTGTTATTGAAGTATCTGAGTGAACAAGTAGATTTCATCGGACAGTCTCCAAACTGTTGCGCGAAACGGTTTAGTAATGGTTATGAATTACTGATAAGCTACAGTAACCTTGGAGTGGAATCTCATTCTGCCCTCACCTCGACATCGTATGTCATCGACACCTCGACATTGAATGCCCACGCTTTGAAATCCTCAGATTTCGTAGCGTGGGCATTCAATTCGCAAGGGGAGAATCGAGACGAAACGATATGGATCAACTATATGGCATCCAATCTCTTTGACCTAGCGTTAAAGTATGGAAGAGGTCTCTATTCCGCCACGGGAGACATCTAATAAAGTCTGACTGAAGGTTTGAAATAGACGGAAATCCAGTCCCTCTCTTCAGGCCTGTTTCTCTCTCTCTCTCTCTTTCGCCTCTGGCCAGGACAGGAAATCTCCCTGTCCGCCCAGATTCATGGTTTATTCAGCCTTGCCACACGGTATAGCTGTTTCACTGGTCAGTTGCGAGTCTAACAGTGCTCCAGAATTTGCTGTTGGATGCCTTGAACGTGTGAAATCTTTCCACATTTGCCATTTCGAAGAATGGGTTCAAAGTCAGAGTTCAGTTGCAATATACCCTCAAGTGACATTTCCTCCACTGTGTCTTTATCCGTGACATTGCATATGGATATCTTCGAATAAGGTAAAAGTTAAATTGAACAACCATTTTCTTTTTTTTTATAGAAAGAAACGACTGACACTTAGAGGTGATTCACGATTGAATGGACGAGATAGCTGATTTTGCATTCTTCTCCCTTTAATATTCCTTCGTTTGGGGATTTTCACACCATTTGCCTAACTGCAACAAATCAACTCCATTTTGCCTTCACTGTGAGTATTGGCACCAACGCTGTTCAATGCAGTTTTATGATGCAGCCACAGCCATCTGAAGACAGAAACTAAGCCAAGTGATGAAGTTAAACTAATTATTATGTGATTAAAACAGTCAAACTGAGCGATAGCGACTTGACGCTGGAAATATGTTCCTTGACAAGTCAGGCTGTCCAGCCAAATCCTTTCTCCACTGTCCAATACGAAGTAGGGGGCAAAGTGCTTGTATACCGGAGGATCCATCGGAAGTAGAAGAGGGGAAGACCTTTGTGAGAATGATAATGAGTTCCGTTTCCTCCTTTTATTCTGTGCTTTCGATTTTCTTCATGACCATCTTTCTATAGAGATATATTCCCATTCCTTCCCATTCCCTTACGAGGGTGCTGCTTGTTACACGCGTCTTTTGTCATGGTTCATAAGGGAAAACTTGTTACTTGTATTCCAAGTAGTCAATTCATCGGCCATCATATCGATATACTCTATTGACATGGATCGATGTCTTTCATATCTGAAGCTTGATTTTATTTCTCTTCCATGGAAGAGCCTCAAGTAAATACTGGTTAAGCTCGCGAAAATAAGACCGGCTCCAACTCGGAAGGGAGGAGGAGCGAGGGGGGTGTGACCGTGTGTCCTGGGTTCAGCGCCTCCAGTTGGCGGGAAACACTCGTTCAGTCTCTCTCACGCTCGGCTCTGTGTCGCTCTCATCTTTCGCTCAATGGCAGGCTCTCAAGTTCCATTTTTCCTCTTCCAAATTCAAGTGCACACGTCACGAGAGAAAAAGATCCATCGCCCTAATTTCGATTGAACCCGGCGTCGTCTAGGTACGTCGACATGCTTATACTTGAATATTCTATTTATGTTGGCCATATTTGGATGTTTTAATGTATTTGCGAAAAATGTTTGTTTATCAAATCGTAGAAGATATATAATGTTAGTAGAGGAGGTAAATACTATCAAGAGTATGCGTATGTTGGATGTAACGGAAGTTCATGATAGTTTCAGTTTTAATATTTTAAATTATTGTTTGCACTGCATTGCGCTGCTTGTTGCTTTTAACTTATTCTGATCAATTACGTTGATATTTAAATCGTGCTATTTATTTGAACATAGCCTTTTCAAAATTGTCCAAAGGCCTCGTCACGTGTTGTGAAGCATCTCAAAAAGCTTGGAGAAATCCTCCTCGCATTGTTTTTAGAAGCCTGCTTCTCCAGCATCCTGTTTTCTTGTCATAAAAAAATGGCATCCTTAAACAGAATATTCTGCAAATGGTAGGCACTGTACAAGGCAATGGAAGAGTAACTGCCTGGTATACATTTTTTGCACATTGCGGAATAAATTGAAATGACCCAGATCTAAACACATACAGAAGTGTTTTCCACACAAGAATGACGAAGCCAACGGTGGTTCAAATCTAACAACACACGAACTTTCATTTCCTGAAAATTTAAACCACTGCTGCTAGAAAATATATCAGTTAGATGATTCCCAACATAACTCAAATCTGACTTGCAGTTCCAGTTCTTGTACGTTCCTTGGCTGTGCTTCTTAGACGTCCTTTTTTCCCAGCCACACAAGAGCAAAATCATTTAAAGTGTTTTCATTCTGTGGGAAGTTAGGTGGGGTCCGGTCTTGATGCGTCCATTTGGAACACTTTCCCAACCCACATGGGTAATTCTGATCGCCAAACTTCGAAACGGGCTGATGTTTGAGCTCATTTTAGGCGATGGTGCTTCTGTCACTGTCCAGTAGCACCTAAAAGTATGAGAATCAAACGTCTAGGGTGAAAGGAAAGGGAAGAAAATAAAATCAGGTAAGTTATTCACTAACACCACGAACCGTATAGGTGAGTAGAAAGCGAGAAAATATTTTATTTTGATACATTCTCTCCTCCATTCTTATAACAAGAAACAACAACGTGGTTTTTGGGTAGAAGTGGTATAATGCTCATCACGTAGCCATTCGCGCCTTTTTTTCGTTGAATAAGCGCACAGAAGTGCAATGGAAAGACCCACGCCATGGGTGTATTATACTGTCCATGGATTCGACGTGCTTGCATATATATATTTTTGTCTTGTTTGCCATACGCAGTATATAGTCTAGAAATTTCTACATTTTCCTGATGTACAGTAAACGTCAATAGTTTGCCTCATAGATGTATAGAAAGGATTTCGAAGGGGTTGTAATGATGCTGGACGGTAAGAATTATATACAAGGACGGGATGAGGATGAAAAAAGTGTCATGGAGTTGAGTCACTGTCACTAAGTGGCAGAAATGGATGTGACCACCGGGGTTCGTGAATGAATGGCCCAATCCCTCGAGACGTGAAATTTCACGCTTCGTCGGACTTCAAGAATGAATTAAGCATCCTGCCTTAATTTCCACATCTCGCCATTAAGGCTCAACGGACCGGACATTCCCGCTCTTCCACGTCGTTTCGACACCGTCACCTCCTTGTGCTTCCTTTGAATCTACCGTCGTAGACGATGCAATGGAATATGTGATGAATGCCTAGGAGGGGACGGACGGATGGAAAAAACAATTAATCCCCCGTTGGAAAGGATCAATCAGACCCTATAGAAGAGAAGATATCTGCAAGTCAAAAGCTGTGAAAGAGATGGGAAGGACCCCGGGTTCATTTCTGTTATTCCTTGCACAGCCCGCAGGTCGTTCATCATGGTTCTGGGCATTAATCAAGGAAACCCCTCTCATCCTCTTTTCCTCTCGGTCTACCGTACAATTAAACCCCCCCTTGCTAATTAAATCATAGGATCTTCCCTTCCTTGCGGAAGGGGCAGCCACAGATCCGCCTCTCGTCAAATTGAGAAGAGCGTGGTAGAATTTTGAATACATTTTCTAAAGATGTTAAGGGCTGCACTAACTGGAACTAATGAAAGTTCGGCATCTAAGAGATATTTGCTTTAAACGAAAGAGATCATGTTCCTTACTTCTGTAACTTTTGTCAGACACTGTGGGTGACATGCACCACATCCATTTAAACTGATCTGGCTTTATAATAGACGTCTGTGAGAACGAGAACCGGTTCCCATAGGGGCGTATAATTAACTCAGATCCGCTTCACCTGAAGCGATCTGGTGCATGTCACTTTGTACTTCTGTCTCATGCTTTGTCGCCGTCAAAACTCTAGCGCATTATCTCATTTTTCACATGGTCTTGAGTGACATGCGCCGCATCGATTACTTGTATTCATTCAATATTGCATTGAATGTCGATGGGAATATGAAGTGGTTTATTGTGGAACCAAAATGAATTTAGTTAAATCAATCTGATGCATTATTCTGAAATTCTTTTGGAATACCCCCTTAATGAAGATCATAATTGCTACAGATACGACTTCAAGTCCCAACGAACAGTGAGTAAGTGGACCATGTGATGCATTAGCTTCACCGAATCTCTCGGCGGGAGCTGAAGAAGGGCTTGAAGGGATGGAGGTGCTACAAGTGGTGGGAACGGGAACGGGGCCGACATCCCCCGAGCAGATCCTCCAGAAGAGGCCCCAGCTGGCCCGTAGCGACAGTGCCGCCAGCTCCATCATGCTTCACGACTCAGGCGTCCACTCCGAGATGAACAGCAGCAGTGGTGCCCGACTCGAAGAAGATGTGCTAGTGGAACCGGTAGGTCGACCGGCTAGGCGACTCCCACGTCCGGTGGCACCCGTGAATGCTCCACTGATGCCGAGAAATGAGGAACGGAAGAAGGCGAGCACGATAAGACAGCATTACTACCCGGAGGGTGGTTGGGGTTGGGTGGTCCTCGTCTGCTCCACCGCCTGCGTCATCATGGCCCTAGGGCTCCAGTTGGCTTTTGGGCAATGGCTTCTCGAGATCCGACGCTTCTTCCCACACGCCTCTGTTCTACAAATCGGTATGTCATCTAGATTACGATCATTTCTCTTACAATCTTTTTCTGATATTTATATGAGCTTTTAAAGCCCAAAAAAACATAAATTCGCAAAAAATATTCCCATTTCTTATATATATAAGAAATATTCCCACTTATTTATTTATTTATTAACTTAAGCGCTGTTATATGGTCACGATTCCCGAATGGCTATGACTGAGGTCACAAAATGCAGTGTTTGTGGCAGCTCCTACAAGCCTAACATACTATAATCAAATGAAATGAACCAGGAATTCGATTTGCGAGCAAAGTCTACATATTCATGAAGGTGGCCTACGTCGGGGCTACCCAGTAGCAGGGTAGCTGGAGAGACGATGAAACTATATTTGAAATAATTTCCTCTAGCGAAAAGTTTTTGTACCATTAAGTGAACGTCCATTGTCTGGTCGAGATTTCGTACTCAGGTCCGGAAGTTTCTTCAACGAAGCACAGGAATTCCCTAACCCTTTATATAATTTTTGAAGTTATTTTCCTTGTGACTGTGATAGCACCCAGAAATTCATTATTAGTTCCTGAAAGCCCCGTAGTGAAAGCAACTTTGCTTGAAGAACCACCAAGGAGGTGATATAGCTAAGAGTAATAAATGTATAACATACCACGTTGAAGTGGATGTGAACAAGTGACCTCCACGTGCCTAATGAATGTCATAAGGAGAGTACGAATTGTATTGACTCTTTTAGTCCCTATGCACACAATTTTAGATTGTGAATAAAACTAAATTTGCATCAATTAGCAAATGATGCACGTTTAGATTCATACGCAAGGAACTTGTACTGCTCTGTAACAAAGGATCCATCCAGGCATCACAACATGAAGGATTGATTACGCAATGGAAAAAATGGCAGTCAATATAATATCTAATCGTGAAAGCTGTTTCTGTAGTAATCAAAGTCGGGATGAGAGATTTCTTGGCACCTTATGAATGTTATTATGTAAATAAAAGTTAGAGATACTACAATAAAATCATCCTTACTCGTAGAATAAACGTATTGTGCGCGTTGGACGATAAGGAGCACAATCGGAGTTCTCAAGCTATCCAAAAACAAACCTACGCTGCTCTCCCTCGACTTAATTCTTTATTTATTAGTGAAAATCGATCAGCTCCTGCCGATTCCATATGTCTTCACTCTCTGAAGAAAGGACTCGTGTGCGCTCACTGATTTCAGAGACTGTTTGAACGCCCAAGACTTCATTTCCGGGATCATTTCCGGAATGGGAAACGAAGTTTCTCCATAATGCTTTTGACCCCCAATATCTCATCAAGTGGGGGTTGTTAAGGGGAGACGACGTTTACGGCCATATGTACAACAGTACAATTTTACTGCACCCGATCGCGAAGGAGTCAGGTCTTCTCATTGAGGGCATTAAATTCGAGTGACTCCGGTTGCCTCCCAAAGGGGAAAAATATCATCAGCAGAGAACGTATGTAAGGAATGGGAGAGAATCATTGTCTCTCGGAGATTGATGGATCATTGGAAATGAATCTGGGGGAGGAAGGAAATGGACTCGTGAGGGGAACTGTCAATCAATTCCGATCCGGAAAAAGGGGCTCGTTTCCTCCCATGCAACCATATCAGACAGAGGCCTACATCCATTAGGACTTTTTTTCCCATCCAAGTTGGGCAATACGAAGCGAAAGATGTGAAAAACAGAATCCATTTGATATCAAATTTTGGCGATGGACATACATTTTAATTACATTTCATAGGGAATGTAACAGCAGTGGGGATTCTCCTATTACCTTTGCGAACTGGTGAAATCCATAGTTTTGACTGTAGTGCAAAAAGAAAAATGAAGCAAGACAATGAACCATAGAACATGGGACTGTATATGTTGATGACCCTCGAGGCAGGAAATGTAGAAGACGTTTCATAAACGTTTATTATTTGAACATAATTGTGAAACCAAGAATTCATGGTCACATGCATGGGACAAATCATAAACTATCGACATAAGACACTTGACATAAGAAACATATCAAAATTAGAATAGGTAAAACAACTCGAGCATGAAATGGAAAGGATGAATTCTAAGCAAACAGAACACTAGAGGTTCGTTCATTTCCTTCTGAGTTTGAAAGTGGAAGTTCTTGACGAATGCAAGGGAGACGGAAGTTTTTTTTTTCTCTCGAAACGGTCTCCGCTCTCGAGAGCTGATAAATGACGGAAGAGATGAAGGATGGTTTTGAAAAAAGTGATGGAGTCTTTCCACGCGTTCAACACGACACCCCAAACTTCTAGAATGACATTTGCTTCCTCTCCCTTACAAGTCACACAGTCACCGTTGGCAGCAACACCTTCAGACGGTGACACGTGTGCATGCCTTCTTTGCCATTCCTGTCTCGCAGTTTCCCTTTTCCCCTCCCACGAAAGCTAAGACTTTCTCCATCGACATTGCGGTGGAACTATTTGGCATTTGGTTCCCGTAATAATAGACAAGTTATTGAATAGAGAAAATCGGGGTAAATAATGTAGAAAATTCATAATAGACTTATAAAGAAGAATATTGAGAGCATGGATAGGTTTATCTCATCCGTGGCTGACAATGACTGGGGGAATGCAAATGCAGGTAACGCAGACAAGGAGTTGGCAGAAGAGCCAAGAGCCAAGGGACAGGATTATAGAATTAGAAAGGACTTTTGAATATCCTAGCCGGCTGCGACCTCAGCTCAAGTCAATAATGAATGTCATGCCGTCCCATCTTCCCCCCTTTTATAGGTGGGGGATGAGTAAGCACTTTTTTTTCACTCTCCAGGCCACCCTGGATGGATTCCATGCGAGATGCCTCCCATCTCGGCTTCGGAAGATACATGGCAAGACTCAAGGGAACTTCTTCCTTATGGAGGAGAGATAGGGGGCCTTGTCGTCGCCATTCATCGTCATAATATTGTCCCGTTCCCTTATAAATGCCTCCATTCCCGAGGTGCCCTGATGAATGCACTCTTGAGACGGGATTTATCACCCTTTCCTCTCGTTTGTTTTCCTCTCTGCCAACTGGGATTTCTCTCCATTGGGCCACCTGGTATAACGCAGATCATCCGTTTACAGCGCGGTATTCCCATTGCTGGTTCAAATGCAACAAAACATCTGATACCACAATGACTTTTTTTTCTTGGGGGGGGGGGGGGGGGAGATCCTTCGGGGGATCACTCTTATTTCACCGAATTACAACGAGCTGCCAGACTTACAACGACATTTTGTCTTCTCTCTACACGTATTTCAATGTATTTGAGTGTTGCAACAAGAGTGAATAAGTAGAATTAGCAAAGATCGTATAAAGCTACGCATGGTTGGATAGAGTGAGAGGAACTTTAGTTCAGAGTGGAATTGGTTGCAGATAATTAATTAAGTACGGGTGAGTAATTAGAATAATTAATTTTCCCGCCGTGAACTCAAGAAATTAGAAAGAAATGCAAACAGAAAGTGAGTTTTACAAGAATAAAAAAAAATGCATAGGTTTTTAGTTTCATTTATATCTCGGAAAAATGTAGATACGATTCGTTCCAATAGTCTACAAAAGGCTTTCTTCAGAACGTATCTTCCAGCTGCGGAGAAAAAAGTAAACCATGCGGAGTAAAACCATGTAAGTTCGGATACTATATCGTATATCGTTACAAAATAAGCATTGGTGAGCTCAGAAACAGTTCTCAGCTCGGAAAAGCTGTTTCCTAAGGTGAACTCGCAATTGCTTTGTTTTATAAAAATTTATTTTATGGTATCCAAACTTAGATACTGTCCGAACTTAAATGGTTTTACCCTATCGGAAAAACGGTAAAAGCTACTGCTGTGTTTCTCCCACTAATAACGACGTTATTAGCGTTCTTACTTCTGTACCACCCTGTATGTTGCATTTTTTGCATAACTGACCTAAGCACCCCTCTTTCCTGGCTTATAGTAGTTGAGCAATAATATATCGCAAAAAGTAGCACATTTTCGAAAAGGGACGAAACCTTCCCCCCTCCCCCTTTTTTAGGCACCCATCCTTTCGCATAAAGGATGATACTGTACATTTATGCAATTCGTTGTGGCCGTAGAGATCTAGCTGCTTGTATACGCATCGAAATAATGCTCCGAATGTGAAGTTCGATTATGAAATAGTAACGCCTAGCTTTTGAATTGCAATGGAAGTGATATGCACCAGATCGATTGAAATTGCCCTGATTTGATATTACAACGGGATTCAGGGGGAATACAGTTCATACATACATCCTCAGTTAAATTTCGTAGAAAGTCATTACGAAATTGAGATAGTCCAAGTTGAAAGGCTCTTACGCAAGCCCGCCATATTTTGAGCTTCTGCTAGACAGTTCTTGTTTCTTAGCAGTTTTCTCCCTCTTTTTCTTCCCAAGGACTAATGTCTCCTAGTGCTTGGGAAGGAATGAGTATCAGTCTTATGTAGTTCGTGACGAAATCGAGGACATTGCACAATTTTTTCTCTTACCCCTTATCTTCAGCGATTCATCGCTAGGCATTGTGCATGGGAAAGAGGTAAGAGGATGAACAACAATGGGGACGTCAACAGGGAAAGAGACGGGCCTGCTCCTAATTGCCCAATTACGGGGAATTGATGGCAAGGATTCAAATGAAGGAATTTGTCACGAACTTCATTTCCGTCACGATGAGCCGATATATTCCCGTCACTTCGCCCTCCCTTTCCCTCCCTTTTAACCGTTGATGTGTTTATAATGGGGACCTAGAGTTCACAGAAGTTTCATCATTCTCGTTCGCCTTCTCCTCGCCCATCGTGGATCTAAATGGCGATGAATAGACGAAATCGGGATTCATTACATTTTGTATTAAAATCATTAATTTATCAATTCGTATGTTTTTTATGTTTACTTGCCGACTACTGCTGATATTACCATCGATGCCTGTCTATTATTCTTGAAGGGTTTAAAATGATTTTTTGTTGATAAGGCAATCGAGCTGATTGCCTGGAGGAGGGAGGCCTTTCTCTTCCCCTCT